GAAAAACATTACATGAAATGCAGAGGGAATTTTTTTTTAAAGAAAGAAGCAAAAATGATAAAAGAGGAACTCTAAGAGAAAACTTTCTTAGGAAAATTTTATTTTACATATGTAAATCTATGGTTGATACTTACATTTTCTGAAATTGAAAAATACTACTTTTAGAAAATATTCTGATAATGAAATATATAGAGCTCAGGTCCTAATCCAAAAATAGGTAGTTGCTCACATACTTAATTTTCCTGAACTGACCTTACTGGTTTTCAGAAAATGAATTAATATGTTTTTATTTATTGTACTTTATCACCAACAAAAGTTGTACTAATTAAAAAATAACAAATTTAGAGAGACTGACATGGCTCAGTGGTTAAGCATCAACCTATGAATGAGGAGTTCATGGCTCAATTCTCAGTCTCAGTTCATGTCCCAGTTACCCGGCTCAATCCACAGTCCAAGATGTGCAGGAGGCAGCCAATTAATGATTCTTTCTCATTATTGATGTGTCTCTCTCTCTCCCTCTTCCTTCCTCCCTGAAATCAACCTATAAATCTATTATCTGTCTATCTATTATCTATCTATCTATCTATCTATCTATCTATCTATCATCTATCTATCTATCAATCAATCATCTATCTATCTATCTATCTATCTATCTCTATGTCATTTATATCTATATCTAATCTATATCTATATCTGATCTATATCTATATTTAATCTATATCTCTAGCTATCTATAGCTATATGAAAAATAATAATGAATTGAATGATCCCCAATTAAGGGCAACAGAGAAGGGAAGGGGAGCCTGCATAGCATCAGCAGTGGGAATCAGTGGGAATTCAATCCACCTGGGGGGTCCAGACTGCATGAGGGATTTTGTTGTTTCAACACCTGCCTGGAAAGTTTGCTCTGTTCTGCTTCTAGGAGAGGGGACATGTGGCAATTATCAGGACCTGTGGAGGAGTCTGATTGGTACACCCAGCAGTGAATCTGAGGAGTCCTCTATTCTTTAGAAGAATTTGGGCATAGAGCCAGAAAGTGGATGGACAGTTTGGCTTGGGAAAGAGGACAAGTCTTGCACCACTCTAGCACGTGGGCTGTGACCCTCCCACACCTGCAGAAGGACTCGGTCTTCCAAGTCCTGCCATGACTAGAGGCAAAGGGGAATGGCTCTGGGTTGGAAATCTGCATTCATGTCGCTAGGTCTGATGAGGGAGGACTTGGACATTTGGCCTGGTCAGAGGCCTCATTAAGCAGGGGACAGATGCATTGAAAAATTGGAGTGCCAAGTGAGGTTGATCTTATCCTATTTTATACTAGAGGCCCAGAACACAAAATTCATGCACTTAGAAGGGTCTTTCAGCCCAGACTGCACCCTCTCACAGTCCAGGAGCCCTTGGGAGATGTCCAACTAATGACTTAGGTCTGTTTCCCTTAGCTGGTAGTCAGACATCCTTAGCACTGTTGTGGAGACAGGAGAGGTTTCTGCCACTGCCATTGCGCTTGGCTCAAGGCTTCTGGCTGAGTGGCACTCCCCCTGTGGTGATCTCCTGCGTTGAGCGCCTACCCCCTGGTGGTTAGTGTACATCATAGTGACCAGTCATTCTGCCATTTGGTCAATTTGCATATTAGCTTTTTATTATATAAAATATTTTATCCCTTCCAGCTTGTGGGGTAATAAGAGCTGCCAGGGGGCATGTAAAGCTGAGGCATTGTGGCTGTGTGTCCTGGGTGGGCTTGGGACCAGGAGACAGACTGGCATGTTCTGAGCTTTTTTGCTGAGTTATGGGGAGCCAGAGCCAAGCTCCCCAGTGAGTTGAGCCAACAGAGTCCTGGGGTGGAGAGGAAGTACCCACTTCCCCTCCTATAAGATATAGGCACTACCCACAAGAAGACTCTGTTTAAACCACCCCACCAGATCCCAGATACTCCCACAGAACTTAGAGAGAACAGCTGTGAGCAGAAAGATCATGGAAAGTGATTGACATTAGCTTCTACCAGAGAAACTACTGGTAGGCCTGGGACCAGTGCACCAAAAGGCCAGATCTAATCATCATCAAAGCAAAATCCAGCAAGCTCCACAAATAGCAGATCCAAAAAATAATCATAGCAGGCACCAAAATCTGTGGAGGTGAACTCCACTTATTTTAATTAATTTGTATTTTTAATTTTTCTTTATATTTTCTTTTGTATTTAGTTGTTTTTCTTTATTCTCTATTTGCTTCATATCTCTTATTTCTCTTTCCTTTTGTTCTATTTTTTCTTTCTCTTATTTTATTTAATTTTTTATTTCCTTATCTTTTATTAATTGTTATTACTTTAAAATTATTATTATTTCATTTTTTACTTTTTAATTCATATTATTGAATATTTTTTATTTTCTCTTCCTTCTTTTCTTTTGTATTCTCTTTTTCTTGCATCTTTTTTTTGTATGTGTCTATAATTGTTTTGGTCTCTTGCCTTTTAGAATCTTTTAGAATACTTTTTTTTTTCTCAATTCTTCCTATGGTTGTTGTTTTTTTTTTTTTTTTTGTTTGTTTTTTTTTGTTGGGGGTTTGTTATTTTGACATGCTGTTTTTGGTTTGGTATAGTTTTATCTTGTTTTGTTGTGTCAGCACTAGTATAAAGGTTGGCAATATGTTGTTTGGGTTGAGTCTCACAATCATCCAGGCAGAAGGATGAGCCCAACCAAGAAGGGGACAGCAGTAATCAAGACCCAACTACAGCAAGAGGGCCTACATACTCCATACATTCCCAGAGAATCAAGTTCAAGAGATTATAGAGACTACACCACTGGGTCCCACAAGACATCCATTACATAATGCCACACTACCAAGACTGGGAGTCGTAGAAGTTCTATCCACTACACAGAAACAAAAAGAAAGAAACTGCAAAAATAGGAAAACAAGGAAATGCCCCAAATGAAAGAGTAGGAGGAATATTCAGAAAAAAGATCTAAATGAAATGGAGGCAAGAACCTTATCAGAAACAGTAAAAAGTAATGGTTTTAAGAATGCTCAGCATGAGAAAAGATTTATATTAATAAACCATTCACAAATGAGGAATGACAGCTGAAATAAAACACTGGAAAGAATAAACAGTAGTTATAGGACATTGATGATTGAATCAGCAAATCAGAAGACAAGGTAGAAAAATCAGTAAGAACAGCAAAAATAAAAAAATAAAATAAACTGCATGAGGACAGTGTAAGGGAACTTTGAGACACCATGAAATGAAACAAAATCCACAACATAGGTGTACCAGAGGTAGAAGATAGTGAGCAAGGTATAGAGAACCTGTTTGAAAGAAATAATGACAGAAAATTTCCCTAACTTGAAGAAGAAAAAAGTCAAACAAGTTCAGGAAGTACAGAGAGTCTGAATCAAGGTGAACTCAAATAGACCTTCACCAAGACATCATAATTAAAATAGCAAAATGTTAAAAGAAAAGGAGAGAGAGAGAATCTTAAAGGCAGCAAGAAAGACAGTCAATTATGTACAAAACAGCTCCCATAAGTCTGTGAGCTGGTTTCTCAACAGAGGCACTACATGGCAGAAGGGAATGGCATAAAATATTCAAAGTAATGAAAAGAAGGATCTGAAATCAAGACTACTCTATCCAGCAAGGCTATCATTCAAAATCTAAGGTTAAAGAGCAAACTAAAAGAAGGCTGTTGGAGTTTATTATCACCAAATTAGTATTGCAAGAAATGTTAAAGGTACTGCTATAAGAACACGGAGAGAGGAACATAGGCATAAAGACTAAAAATGGTAATAAAACGTACCTATCAATAATAACCTTAAATATAAATGGATTAAATGCTCCAATTAAAGACATAGAGTAGCTGAATGGATAAGAAAACTTGACCCATATATATGCTGTCTACACAAGACCCACCACAAAAGACTCAGACAGGATGAAAGTGAAGGGATGAAAAGTAATTTTCCAAGCAAATGGGAGGAAACAAAACAAAACAAAACAAAAAGCATGGGTTTCAATACTTATATCTGACAAAATGATTTTAAAACAAAGGCTATGGAAAAGACAAAGATGGTCACTTCATAATTCTAAAGGGATAGATACAACAATAGTATATATGTACCCCAAAATAGGAGCACCTAAATATGTAAGAAAAACTCTTGGTGGACTTTAAAGGAGAGATTGTCTTTAATCCACCATAGTAGGGCACTTTGACATCCCACTATATTCACTGGAAAGATTTTTCAGGTAAAAAAAAAATCAACAAGGAAACTTTCACCTTCAACCACACATTAGATCAGGTGGATTTAATTGATATTTACAAAAGATTTTATCCCAAAGTAGCAGAATATAAATTCTCAAGTGCACATGGAACATTCTCAAAGATACATCACATGTTAAGATATAAAATACATTTTAAGAATTTCAAGAAGATTTAAGATATATCAAGAATCTTCTCAGACCACAATGGCATGAAATTCAAAATTAAATACAGTAAAAATACAATACTAAAAAAAAACATTCAAGCTAATGGATGTTAAATATCATGTTATTAAATAATGAGTGAGATACCAAAGAGATCAAGGAACAAATAAAAAATTTCCTTAAAAAACTGAAAATGAACACACAAAACCTCCAAATCTATGGGACACTGTGTAAGCAGTCCTGAGAGAGAAGTTCACAGCATTACAGTCCTATCTCAAGAAACAAGAAAAATCTCAAATAAATAATCTAACCCTACAACTAAGAGAATTAGAAAAAAGAACAACATAAAAAGCCCAGAGTAAGTAGGAGGGTGAAAATAATAAAGATCAGAGCAGAAATAAATGACATAGAAACTCTAAAAACAATACAAAAAGATTAATAAAGCCAAGAGCGTGTTCCTGAAAAGATAAGCGAAATTAATGGGCCTTTAGCAAGACTAATGACAAAACAAAGAGAGAGGACCCAAATAAATATGATTAAAGATAAAAAAAAAGTGAAGTAGCAATTGATATCTCAGAAACAAAGGTTTATAAGAAAAATACTATTAACAACTAAATTCCTACAAGTGTACAACCTTCCAACACTTAATCAGGAAGAATAAGAAGGCCTAAATAGATCAATAACAACTAATTAAATGGAAACAGTAATAAAAAAGAAAAACAAACAACTCCCAACAAATAAAAATCCTTCATCAGTTGGCTTCACAGGTGAGTTTTAACAAACATTTAAAGAACAAACACCTACCCTCCTAAAATTATTCCAAAGTATTCAAGAAGAGGGAACACTATCAAGCTTTTTTATGAGGCCAAAATAATCCAAAATTAATAAAGACCACTTAGAAGAAAAAAATTATAGGACAATATCCCTGATGAAGATAGTTACTAAAATCCTCAACAAAATATTAGCAAATTTTGTCAAATAATACATTTAAAAACCATACACTATGACCAGGTGAGATTTATTCTGGGAATGCAAAGCAGGTACAATATTCACAAATCAATAAATGTGATGCCTCACATAAAATGAAGGATAAAAATCACATGATCATATCAATAGATGCAGAAAAAACATTCCACAAAATCCAGCACTGATTTTATGATAAAGAAAGCTCAGAAAAGTGGGAATATAGTTATCATACCTCAATGTAATAGATGCCATATATGACAAACCTATAGACAACATCATATTCAATGGACAAAAACTGAAAGCATTTTCCTTAATATTAGGAACAAGTCAGGGATGTCCACTTTCACCACTCTTATTCAACATAGTATATGGAAGTCCTAGCCACAGTGATCAGTCAAGAAGAATAAATAAAAGACGTACAAATTGGAAATGAGGAAATAAACTGTCATTATTAGCAGATGACATAACAGTGTATGTAAAAAACAAAACAAACAAACAAACAAAAAACACCTAAAAGCTTTACCAAAAAAACCCCCAAAACTATTAGATATGATAAATGAGTTTGGCAAAGGAGCAGAATATGTAATTAACATCCAGACATAAATGACAGTTATAAACCAATAAAGAACTCTTAGAAAGAGAAACTAAAAAAAAAGTCTAATTTATTATTAAAACAATAAAAAACGAAATACCTAGGTATAAAGGAGGTAAAAATCCAATATTTGGAAAACTATAGACCATTGAAGAAAGAAACAGAGAGGAAGATACAAATAAGTGGAAGCAAATATTGTATTCATGTGTAGGAAGAATTAACACCACTAAAATGCAATTAACATCACTACCAAAAGCAAGTTATGGATTCAACACAATTCCTGTTAAAATATCAATGGCATATTTCATAGATCTAGAACAAATATTCCAGAAATTTATATGAAACCTAAAATATACTCTAATAGTCCAAAGGATCTTAAGAAAGAGGAGCAAAATCAGAGGGATCACATTAACAGATATCAAACTATACTACAAAGCCAATGTAATCAAAACAGCCTGGTATTGGTACAAGAATAAGCATATAAATCAATGGGACAGAACAGAGACCCAGAAATAAACCTATACCATTATGGTCAAGTTCTATTTGACAAAGGAGGCCAGAGCATACAATGGAGTAAAGACAGTCTCTTCAACAAATGATGAATGGAAAATTGGCTATGTACATGCAAAAAATGAAACTAAACCATCAACTTACACAATATACAATAATAAACACAAAATGGATAAAATACTTAAATAAAATCACAAAACCATTAAAATCCTGGAAGAGAACATAGGCAGTAAAATCTCACACATTGCACATAGCTGTTTGTTCACTCATACATTATTCTATCACAAATAAGCGAGCTGGACAAGACATCTTAGTCAGCCAGTTAGTTAGGAGTCATCTTTATTGCATGCAGGTTCAGAGCAGATTGCCTTTGTCAAATTCTGAACAAACACCGGAGGGAATATTTCCTTTTTATATCCTTCTAGTTCCTTGTGTAAGACAGCTTGTAACCTTTAATACATATCATATCTATACAGACGACGTGTAACTTTGAGTACATATTATATCTATATAGACACCTGTAACCTTAGATGAACAAACACTTGGCAGAATATGTGAATTAATATCAGTATCAGTGTATCAGCCCCTTTAGATGGCTAGCTTGCAAGGTCAGACAGTTGTTTATCTTTTCTATTATTTAAGCTAAAAATATGTATTTTTATAGAATAAGAGACTATCTATAAATAACAGAGTAGTTCAAACAGCCGTTTTAAAACAGCAGTTTTCCAAAGGAGGGACCACCATGCTTTGATATCTCTAGGGACAAGAGAAACAAAGGAAAAAAAAATAAACAGATTGGACTACATCAAACTAATAAGCTTTTGCACAGCAAAACAACTATCAACAAAATGAAAAGGACCTACCTGTATAGGAGAACATATTTGTGAATGATATATCTCATAAGAGGTTAGTTTCCAAAATACTTAAAGAACGTACACAGCGGAACACCAGGAAAACAAACAATCAAATTAAAAAATGGACAAATAACCTAGACGTTTTTCCAAAAAGGACACACAGATGGCCAAGAAACATGAAAAAATGATCAGTCACTAATCATCATAGAAATGCAAATTAAAACAACAATGAAGTATCACCTCATACTTGCCAAAATGGCTATCAGCAATAAATCATCAAATGACAAGGGCTGGCAAGGATATGGAGTAAAGGGAAGCATAGTATACATGGTGGAAATGCAGACTGGGGCTTCCACTATGGAAAACAGTATGAAGTTTTCTAAAAAATTAAAAATGGAAGGGCCACTTGAGTCCCACTTCTTGGAATATATTCTAACAAACCTAAAACACCAATTAGAAAGACTATATGCACCTCTATGTTCCTAGAAGTGTTATTCAATAGCTAAGCTCTGGGAAGAGCCCAAGTGTCCATCAGTAGATGATTGGATAAAAAGATGTGTCACATTTATACCACAGAATACTAAGTGGCTGTAAGGAAGAAGGATCTCTTACCCTTTGTAATAGCATGGATGAACCTGGAGAGTATTTTGTTAAATGAAATAAACCAGTCAGAGAAAAACAAGCGTCACATAATCTCACTTATACATGGAATCTAATGGACCTAATAAACTGATGAACCAAATAGTTCCAGAGTCATGGGTGCATAGGAAAGACTGACAGATCTCAGATGGGAGGGGTGTTGGGAGAATGGAAAGAGATTAGCCAAAGAACATATGTGTATATATATATATATATAGCCCATGGACACAGACAGTGAAGATATTGGGTGGTGTCGGGATTGGGTGGAGAGGGCCAAAGGGAGGAGAAAGGGGAACATCTGTAATAGTGTTGATAATGAAGGGGAAAAAAAAAAAAAAAAAAAAGCATGGCCCTAACCGGTTTGGCTCAGTGAATAGAGCATCGGTCTGCAGACTGAAGGGTCCCAGGTTTGATTCTGATCAAGGGCATGTATCTTGGTTGCGGGCACATCCCCAGTAGGAGGTGTGCAGGAGTCAGCTGATTGATGTTTCTCTCTCATCGATGTTTCTAACTCTCTATCTCCCTTCCTCTCTGTAAAAAAAAATCAATAAAATATATTTTAAAAAAAGGCATGATAGGATGAGGAAAATTTGACAGTGATACTTTGAATAAGTGAAGTTATTTTTAGGATTGTTTCAGAGATAATGCACACCTGTTTCCAATGTGAAGGCAGAAAAGAATATATTCCTATATATTTATACATATGCATACACTTATATACATATACATGTACATATACATATTTATATGCATATCTGTGTGTATACAAAACCTGAAGGCAATATAAATTTGTTACCCATAGACATCCTGTACTGGTTTGTTGTGTCTTAGTAAATACTAAATTATACCGTGGTTGTTACGTTCTCTATAGTCCCAGAAGCTTAAAACATTGTAAAATGTTGATGAAAACATTTCTTTATTCCCAAATTTTACATCTATCTTCTTTCCTCCATGAACTGACTTTTGAGTAAATAATACTTATTGTGTAACCACACACAATACTAATTTATTTCTAATTTGTAATATTTCTCAGAATTTTCAGCAAAGTTTCAAGTCTTAAGAAAAAAATATTTTAGAACTAAATCCTGCTAGCATTTGCCATTTCTATTTTACATATAGATTTAAAAAACTTGGGGGAGGCTGGGGAGAGGTCAATGGGGGAAAAAGGAGACATATGTAATACTTTAAACAGTAAAGATTTTAAAATATAAAAGGTTAAAAAAGCCTACTATATTATATTGATTACAATATCTTGACTAAAAATGTGGAAAAAGCTTTTTAAGTAAAATAAATGCATAATGAGTGGATTTGACAATTGGAGGCAACTGGAAGCCATTCTCATTAAAACTTTTAAACATTCTGCAGAAATATCTTGAGTAAGAATACCAAAATTAGGGCAAAGACTATGCAGTTTTGGGCACACTGTGTAAAAGGGGAAAATTACTTCAAAAGCATATTAAAATACAAATTCCTCAGAGTCTATGGGTACCCACTAACTTAAAAATTCCGGGAGGTAGCCGGGACCGGTTTGGCTCAATGGATAGAGCGTCGGCTTGGGGACTGAAGGGTCCCGGGTTCGATTCCGGTCAAGGGCATGTACCTTGGTTGCGGGCATATCCCCAGTAGGGGGTGTGCAAGAGGCAGCTGATCGATGACTCTCTCTCATCGATGTTTCTAACTCTCTATCTCTCTCCCTTCCTCTCTGTACAAAATTAATAAAATATATTAAAAATTCCGGGAGGTAGACCTTAAAATATAATATATATTTAAATGGTAATTTCAGTGATTCTTGTAAATAGCACCTAAAATTAATGCCAGATTTTTATATGATGAGTTGTAGAATAATCACAAGGTTTGATTCTTGGGATTATTGTATATTTTAAATAATATGAAAGATACTTTATAAATATAAGTTAAAATACAGAAAAATTCACTAACAAGATACAAATTTACAACAAGAGAGTTTTATTTCTTATTTATTGGGTTGATTATTTTTAAAATTGTTAATATGCCAAATATTATGTCCTAACTTTCTATTTCAGGAATATTT